AATAAATAAACCCAAATTTCCTTAAAAAAAAATCCAGAGAGCAGGTATAAAATACAGCGGACAAAACTGGAGAAAGAAATCAACATTTCTCCTTATTTTAATCCTAGTCTGATGTTTTAAAGTAAGTATATATTAAAAAAAAAAAAAAAAGTTCAGAACTGAAAAGATCTAAAGAAGCCACACCAGAAAAAAGGGTTCCTATAGATCTGACCTGTAAAGCCACACGAGTGAAGATGGAAAGGCAAAGGTCACCTCTTGTTTTCCAAGACTGCCCACATAGGCAACCGGAAACCAGGAGTGTCCCAAACAGGTGAGTGGCTGCTCGGCTCTGCAGTCCCAACCTTACCCGGGTATTTCCTCTTCTGAGATCACAGTACAGATGAGGACACGTAGGTGTGAGTCCTTAAGTACTTCATCTAGTATTGTCTAGACTAAGGACACTTTCTCCTGCACTTTGCAAAATGCGGAAGTGAAAGCTGAAGAGCTGTACTTAAATAGCTACAACTGGTAATTATTTTTAAATTTGATCATTGGCTCTCTATAAAAGGCAATTTGAAGAAAATGTCCACTTCATGCTTCTACTTCCTAAATTGTTAAAAGCCTTCATTGCTAAAGATGCTTTGTATTTTATGTCCCAAGGCAGGCTGAGGGAAAAAGGGTAAGATTTGGAACACAGGTTTCCTTCAGCACCCATGTGTTGTAAAAGATAATTTGGGCCAAAATAGATATTCACAGTTCTGTAAGGCTGATGAATTATTTCTATGGTTACAGTCATTGTCTTTTCAAATGCGAACTTATCAAGAATGTAACAGAGGGACTGTGTTTTCTGTTTTTGCTTTGGTTTTTCTGCCATATGAAGTTAAGGAAAATAGCAAGGCAGGCACTTATTTCAAGCAATGTAAATTCTCCTTGCATCATACCATAAATGCCTATCAATCAATTACATTTATACTAATGAAATGAAAAAATATCCTAAAATAGTTGCATGTTGAATGATTCAGAATTTAGGAAATAAAAAAATTTGGGAAAGTAAAATATGCAGAGGTATATTAGATGTATCTGCCCTCTTTTATAGTAAGGATATTGTAATAGTGAAAGTGGGAAGATCCCAAAATTTGTGAGGGCTTAATGTAAATACCAAAGAAACCAACAAAATACACCAATTAATTGGGGAGCTGGGAATGAGGTCCCCACGTGACCCTTCAGCCTTATTGGTGACCTATTTTACAGCAAATTGTGTTGCAGTGAGGTTACATAACTCAGAAGCTACCTTCCTTCCCCAGTGTACCTGAGAATCTCCGACAGTCTCTTGACTCACTATATTATGTTCTTTCTTCTATGATGATTCCTATACACAGTTAGTACTTGGACTACACTGGATACTCTGTCACTAGGTTGAGGAGCATTTTTTAATCCAAGCAATGAAGGTTATGTCAAGTTGAATCATTTTTCCAGGTTCCTCTCTGCATCTCTGTAAATATATGGGGGTTGGCAGGGGATGGATGTAAGAGTATGAGGTTTTAGTAGGACGACTGTGTTGTCTGTTCCTTTTCCCTACACACTCCAGCCAGAGAGACATGACTTTCTTGGCTCGTCTCGCCAGAAGTCTTCCTTCCCTGCATTTTTACACCAAGGGAATTAATTTTGTTCAATCAAATATTACTAAGAATTAGAGTGTGTCAAAACGATATAAATGGAACTTAGAACAACGGCATGTGACCAACACCACATTCACTTCTATAAATGGCAAGATCCCAGGCTCAACAGGCCTGTGAGCAAGCTTACCTTCCACGTGGCGGCATTGCGTCGGAAGTAAGCAAACATTCGTGTGAACCAGTTGTAGATTTCATTTAGTGTTAGCTGCTTTTCTGGAGATTCGAGAATGGCCTGTGCAGCAAAAGTAACAGGAGATGAGTGACGCCCGAGTCAGCAGGACCGTCATCACAGTTTCTTGAAAAATCTAAAAGAACCGTGATTCAGAGCTAACTCCTAAGAAAGGTTTCACAAAATGATCTAAGATTAATGGCTGTATTTAACAGTTCAATAGCAAAATTCAAAATGGAAGTATCTAATTGTTTTGAGTTTTTATTTCTGTTTCCATACAGAAATATTAATTTATAAGTCATTCATAAAGCAGAATCAAAGAGAAATGCAAAACATTTCACTAGCTGATTAAAGCTCAGTAATTATTTAGAGCTCAGATTAATTCTAGGGATCAGAGATTACTGTAGCTTGTGATAATTGACTTGCCATCTTTAAACAGGCTCATTTTCACTGTTGTGTGAAATGAATTTCCTAATAATCACATTGTATTGTAATACTTAATCAAAAGCAATTATGTTATATATTGCAGTTTTAAAAAACCTTATAGAAAAGGTTTTACCATGCTTGCATACTAAACGGTTTTAAATCTACGTCATCGATATGCCCACGTGCACATGTACCTTTTGGTGTACCTTCATTGTTTACTTACCTGCCTAATTAAAGATGCATATGTAAATGGTGGTCTAACTTCTGCGTTCTTATAAAATTCTTGGTTCTGCGCAATATCTGCTAAATAAGAATCATTGTCCTATTAATTATCACTTTTTAAAAAGAGGCTGGACTGCAAGACTTGGCTAGGACAGTTCTACCTGGGGCACACGTGGAGTAGCTACCTGAAGAAATGGGCACGTTGTATTTGTCTGAGTACCGCCTGCGGATGGGTCCCACCGTGTGCATGCTGGTGGTGGTGATGACGGAGGGGCCTTGGGTGACGGGAGTGATGGGGGCAGTCGGGGTCGTCGGAGTATGAGGTAAGCTCTGCGGAGAAGCCTCTGATGCAGACTTGGAGAGCGTGACACTTGATACCAGATTCAGCTGTGAGGAGAAAGCACAATTCTTAGAAGACCTTCAGGAAAACATGTGAAATCGGACAAATAATACAGGGCTGCCTGGGTCGCTGTATTTCCCGAAGTACATGTTCATAAGCAACTGAAATGGGAGAGTTTCTGCATAAAAATGCCCCTGGCAGGGCTCTCCTTTCCTCAGGAGATGGATGTTTTCTCCAGAAACACCATTAGGTGCCTGAGTGTCTGCAGACACAAAAAGGTTAGGAGGCCAGCAAGTCTGAGAAATGCTGGGTCAAAATATTATTGCCATCGTGACTTTGAGCCCTCTTGAATAGCCCAGGGTGCTCTGTAAACCTCAGAGAAGAAGACAAGATCCTTGGGGTGCAAATGAGCACCACGCTTTGGAAATGCCAGTCGGGGTACGCTAGCAGAGGCCTGAGCGCCCTGCGGAACCTCTTGCAGCACCCTGGTGCAAGTGAGGAACTGTTTTTACCCGCTTTCTATCAAAGTGCACTTTTACTGAGATAGCCACATGTGGCCAGTGGCTCCAGCTGGGCCGGCAGAGGGCTGGCCCACTCCACTCCACAGTGAAACTCCACGGTTGGGAATTCTGCAGATACGTCTGGCTGTGTCTCAAGCTAAGAAGAGTGGCCCCGATATGCCATCGTTTAGTTCTATCAGTTGGCAGGGACTAATCTTTGAAAGCTTTCTGTGTAATCGTCATTAAACTCTATCAAAGATGGGATTGGAATCCATTAATTTAAAAAGAATATGGCATATGAGAGAGCTACAACTGTACATTTTTTTCTTTTCTTCGAACTTCAAATGTTGGGCAATACAGCGGAATGATCTATTGCACCAGATCTGGAAAAAGTATCAGAGAGGCAAACGAATGACACTGTTTTGAGCCTTCCTTCTTTCTAAGCTGTTTAGCCTTCACCTTGAAGTGCTTCTCTTATTAATAATGGACAAATGGTTTTGTCCTCCCCTTTCGTAAAATTTGTTACAGAAATACTAAGTCTGGCTCTGCTGAAGAACTGGGTTGTTTCCAACATACCCACTAGAGCTTACACAGAAAAGCTTAGCTGAGACACTCAAAGCCGCTCCCAAATCCCAGCAACTTCAGCTGTGTGGACTGACTTGGTAACATTTTCTCAAACCTGATTTCAAACCACTAAAGTATTTCAACAGCACAATAGTCTTAAGTACAAGACAGTCTTTGTGGAAGGTGTTAACAATGAGATTCCTCCAAGATCATAATCAAAGAACATACTAAAACAGAGTTCCAAATTTTTGCAAAGACTCAACATTACACATCTGCAGTAGTGCCGTAACAAAGCAGTGGCTCTGGGGAAAAGAAAGCTCAAGTATCGCTGGGTGGACATTAATGGGAAACTGTAAACATGGTGCAAGGAATTGCACGGTGGGCTACAAGCTTTCAGCTGCACTTGCCTTTTCATCCCCCAGCTCCAAATGCTGACTCAGCCAAGGCCAGACAAGCCCCTGCACCCCGTGTGAAGAGAGCAAGCTGCAGACGTGGTACGGCTCTTCCAGGTGCCCGGGCCCTCTGGGCAGATGCTGTGAGCAGTTTTTTCATTAGTCCTGGAGACCTGACTTTATGACACACATTTGCAAGCTAAGTGCTAAGAGTTCAGAGTATCAGCCAGGGGACAGAGAGAGCTGAGAAGCCAGGGGAGGAGGCTGGGCCTGACCTGCTCTTTACCTTGGGCCTTAATCACTGACCAAGGGCAGGAAGAGTATGTTTAAGCATCAGCCCAAGCAACGGGTCAAGGAAATTAGTGCACGACAGGCCAGCACTCATAAATAAATACACAGCTCCTAAAATTTAGATGTTGCTTGGCCTAAGGATGAGAACACCGGGGAAGCCATGGGTACTGTTTGTAAAAATCATGTTCTAAACCACTTGCCATCGTGTGATCTCACACCATACCACACTTGAGGCTTTTACTCACAGTTAACTGATCAGCAAACTGAGGCTCCCAAGAGATTAAGCAACTTGCCCATATTCGTAACTTGGACCCTAAGTCACACACACACTTGTGAATCTAGGCCTTTTGTATAACCATCTTATGCCCAGTTAATGGGAAAAATAAACACTGATTTCTTTTTTGGAAAGGAGTCAGTGAGTAGCTTTTATCCCTGATTATAAATGACATTCAGTAAGTATTACTGAGCAATAAGGCCTGTGGAATTGAAATGAGAAGAACAGGAACAGACCTCACGGTGGTCGCTCCCGAAGAGCTCACCACCCGGTGCAGACACCGGCCAAGGAAAACATGCCCAGCAACCATAAAGGGGCACTGGTTACTCATTTGACTTTCTGGCATTTCTTCTCCGCTTTAGAACATTACCCGACACACCATAGCTTTCCTAAAAACACAAAGAAAATTGTAACAAATTGTAACATATGTATAAATGTCCTCAAGAGCTCGTCATTCACCTTTCCAGTTTTGGGAGGAAAATCAAGTCCACTGGGTTCTGATCTTGTAGCCAAAATTCAAAACTCACATCAATGTTCAGTAAGTGCAAGCCCACCTTTTGATGCTCCCATGCAAGAGTAGACAAGTCACATGGTACCATGTCATAAAATGTGCAAAGAATGGGATTCTTGTAGCTCTTACGAAGGTCTTAAGACCTGGACTGTTCACACCAAAAAGCAACAGCGAAAAATAAAATCCCTCCAGATCAGCACAATCCACAAAGAAATGAAAGAGGTGCAGCAGAGTTTTCTGGAGGCTTTTGAACCTAGGTAGCGAGTGGAAATAAACGCCAAGCCAGAGGAGAGCAGAGAGGGGGCTTGCTTACCAGGCTTGACAAATGACACCGTGATTCACACCCACTGCTGGGCTGTCTCTAATAAGCCACAGAGGAAGCAGCCAATCTCAGCTAATTACCAGATAAAAATGTATTGTAAGGACTCTAATTAGGAGACGAGGATGGAGGTGATCTAATGATTAAATGCTGCATTGGAGTGACCCCACCATCAGTGTGCAGTGGTGCAAGATGTCGCTGGAATATTTTGTAGAAACAGTAATTTTATTTCGACGAGGGGAGGCAGTAATATTTGTAATGATGGCTGTGAGGTAAACTAATTAAAAGACGGCTCCTGGAGGAAGAGGGTGGCTGAGAGCAGCTGTGCCCATTCCAACTCTGAGTGCCAAGTCCCGCCAGAGGAGCTGCACTCAAGTGGAAAATTTCTGCCTGACCTCTGCCCTTGCTGTTAATTTGCAGGAAAACTAATGACACATATACATATTCCCACAAAATTGTTCTAATTGCTCATTTGCCAAAGGAGCCCAGATTCCAAATTAAACATGACTGTAGTCTGTTGAGGGAAGGAAGAACAAAAAGCTGTAAAGCCCAAACATGCCGCTCGGCCTGGAGAACTAACTCATCTGAAGGCTGAACCAACAAAGTTAATGAAATGTCAACCTCGGCAACGGGGACACAAGTTCGTTAACTTTTAAACTTTTGGATGACCGCATGCTTGTCTTGAGGAGAAACCATCTTCAGGGAGGAAGATCACAAGGCAGAGAGAAGATGGGGCATGGGGAAGGATTCTCAAGACAGGCTGTGTTCAACCCAAACCTACTCTCTTAGTGAGTGAAGGTCTCTCTTTAAACAGTGGACCGGAAAAAAAAAAAATTAATTACACACTTAGAAGAGGAAAGCAGTATCAGGAATGCTGTGGGTTTTGCCATGATCTTGAAATATGCATCTTAATTGTAAACTACTGCATCTTAACATAAGCATCAGTTAGAAATGAAAGTACATGGGCTTCGTGTTTCTGATTGTAGTTCAGGTTAGAAGAGAAGAATTTTTTCCAGGGCATGGAGCAGGAAGGGATGGTACTTGGGAGGGTTTCTTTTCCTATTTTTCTTATTGTGTTCATTTGCTATTTAAAAAGAAGTTGCTATATTTAACAAAGTTAGTAACTCTGATATTTTCTGCATGGCAAGTTTCCATCATGTGATGGTTTCGGCAAAGATAATCTCCTTGAAACTCTGACCAGAAGTTAAATTCTTATGTCACTTAGAATTGCTGGAGGGTGTTCTTTTTTTAATTTACGTGTGCTCTCAACCACTGTCTTTCCCCCCCGGGGCAGTTATGGAAGGGCTGTCCTGCAAGTCTGACCCACCCCAGAGGACTGGAGCTGGATCAGCTGCCTTGTATTCTGCTTAGCCCCTTTTTAAGAAGATTAATCTTTAGTTTCTCAACACTAGCCTCCTCTCTCTTTTAAAGATCATGAGTCACTCACATTTCTAAAAAATAAACAAACCGCTGAAGTAAACCCCGGACAGGAACAGACTTGTCCTAAGTATTCCCATAAGAACTCATTTTTATTTTTGTTTGTACACTTGCCTCACATGAAAACAGACTCTGAGAACAAAAGACAAACCTGAAACCAGAACACGCCGGGACCCAGCTGCTTAGTAGGGACCTTCAGGCTCAGGGAACTCGTTTTCCTGCTGTTGGTTTTACTGGCTCGCACGGGTTCAGGTCCTGCTTTAACTGCACGGCGTTTCTAGACATGAGTCACTGGCGTTCAGGGCCGGGGCAGACCGTGGGGAGCTGGCACGGGCGTGACGGCGGGAGGCTCCTGCCTCTGTCCCATCCCCGCCGGGCCCCGCTGCAGGCGGACAGCCGGCGGATGTCACCGCCGGGAAAGGTGGTCTCACTGACAGTCTTCCTGCCGACGGGGCATGGAATGGGGAACAGCACGTAAGACTAGTCTGTGCCGGGCTGGGCTTGACAGTCTTTTATGACTGCTGAATATTATTTCTCCAACTCTAAAGCGAGGTGGCAAGCAGCCCAAAGGATCAGCCATTCCTTTCAGGGTTAAGAGACCCTCTTTTGCAAAGCGGGGACACTTTGTTTTTCTAGGAGCTAAAAACGATTTCAAAACGGCCCTAATTGCTCTGCTTAGGGGAAAAGGGAATGTGTAAAAAGGAAAATGTAATACAACATTTCGCTTCAAATATCCAAATTTCTGTAAGTATCTTGTAACATTTTCATAAAGTAGGATATACTGCCCACACTGTAATTACCTGCCCACCAACTCGGAAGAATGTGGTCTGTCCAGGATCGGGTGTTTTCTGGTGTGTAGGGATACCCTGGAGCAAAGCATACCTCTCGTGTGCTGAGCTGATAAAATATTAGGTACGGAATCGCCCTGACATCACTAAAGTGAAAAGTCTTTTTAAAAATCCCCAACAACTCCATGAAGTCCTAACACAGACAAGCTATTCCTGCCGTTGTTAGTTTTGTCCCCTGGGTTATGCCTCCCTCCAAGGAAGCGTCCCCTGCAAACTCCCTGCCAGGAAGGCGCAGAGGAGGGGAACCCCAAGCAGTACATTTTGGTGTTGACTTCGAGAATGGTATGGAGTTTGGAACAAAAGAATATCGATCATTCTCACCAGGGCAGTTTACTATTGTCTGCTGTTCTGCTTTTGCTTCCGTTAGCATGGAAAAGAGAAGAATCTTTTAAAACTCTACACATCTGGCCAATCTAAATGTCTGTCAGAAAGGCTTTTCCCATTGTATGCGCCGACTGCAGCAACGGACGGCTACTCTGGTAAACTTTACAAATCTTTGTCCATGTAGGCTCCAGACCTAACAAAATCAAAAGCTTACAAAGAAAATAAGAATGAAAAACCTATA